GAATGAAGGAAATGATGACAGATCAGAGTTCAAGAAAATCTCAAATGAATCAATGTAACTCAAGTCAAACGTGAGAGACTTGGAACTGATAATGTCAGAAGATCTAAAGTTCAAGGAGCACAACAATGTTGTTATTGCATCTGTAAGAACAATGAATAACTAGAACCTTCAAAACATGAGATGCCATGCCAATGATGACACTGATCAGATCAGTCATTCTCTATAGAAATACTGCCATGTACTAACAGCCCCCTTCTACGCAGGCAAAACTGCTGAGCAGGGAAATGCACAGAGAACCTTCACAGCTTGTATAAATCCAGTCAAGCACCTAAATTACTGGGAGAGCTTGAAGACCCCTAGAACTGTACTCTCCTTAGAATGTAAGTGAGAAAGATGCATCATAAAAACCATGATATGGGTGGTGTTAGAATCCAAAGCAAGTGGTAAAACTCCAGGCCAGTGTGTAAGCCACACTGGGCCAGCTGGCTACAATAAGTCATCCACCTAGGTATATTTATACACCATAGGGAAGTTAGCATGGGCCACCACTCTGACCACAAACGTAAGTTTTTACAGATGAATCTCCCGCCAGTGTAGCTGTGATGAACTCTAGCTGAAGTCCCCCTCAAAGTCATCATCATGACTTGTAAAATTGTAATAATGTGACTGAAAAGAAACCATGGTATGGATGGGGTTAGAACCCATAGCAAGTGAGTCATAAAACTCCAAATGGTTTATGCACCTGCCTTCAACACAACTTAAACCCTGCCTTCAACACAACTTTAACCCTGCATTCAAACCCTTTAATACAACATAATACAGTGGTCCCTTGATAATCGTCGGGCTCGATAGTCGTCCTTTTCGGAAATCGTCGCGTTATTTTTGTCTAAACATTGGCTCTCAAATGGTCAGTTGACTTGCTAATCATCGTTCATCCTGGACGCGTACTCACGGCTCTGAGCCACCTCAGCCTCCCTTCCCAGCCAGTGTGCCATTGTTTACCAGTGAGCGACGGTCCCCTCACTTGTTCATAAGAAATATTTCATAATATTCCATTCATTTTAGTGCTTGCAAGTGCTAAATAAGCTACCATGGCTCCAAAGAAAGCTCCTAGTGCCAAGCCTTTGGTAAAGAAGGTGAGAAATGTGATTGAATTTAAGAAAAACATCATTGAACAATATGAAAGTGGTGTACGTGTGGCCGAACTGACCAGGATGTATAACAAACCCCATACCACCATAACTTCCATCGTGGCAAAGAAAAAGGAAATCAAGGAAGCTGTTGTTGCTTGGAGAAAATTGTGGCCATATTGTGTCCACAAGAGGGATTCTGAAGGGTTTGTGGCTGACCCTGATGAGCCTATGTCAGTTGTGAAATCTATTGTGGCATTGGGGAGTTCCATGGGGCTGGATGTGAGTTTGGAGGATGTGGAAGAGTTGGTGGAGGACCACAACGAAGAGCTAACCACTGAGGAGCTGCAAGAGCTTCAGCAGGAAGAGCAACAGATTGCAGCTCAGAATCTTGCTGCAGAGGAGGAAGAGAGATGGAAGAAGGTGCCTTCTTCAGAAATTAAGGAGATTTTTGAAATGTGGGGTAGAATGGAAAGATTTATGGAGAAACATCACCCTGAGAAGGATGTTGCAAGCCATATCGGCAACTTGTACAGTGACAGAGTCTTGGCCCATTTTAGGGAGGTGTTAAAGAGACGCCAGAAACAGAGCTCTCTGGACAGTTTTTTTGTGAGACAGGACTCCAGTGACTCTCAAGCTGGTCCTAGTGGCATTAAGAAACAGAGAAGAGAAGTAACCCCAGAAAAGCACTTGGTACCTGAGGTGTTGATGGAAGGGGATTCCCCTTCCAAACAGTAATTCAATCTGTCTCCTCCTCCAGTCTTCCATACACTAAGAAGAATCGCCAATAAAGGTAAGTGTTATGCTGTTAATGTTTCATTCGTCATGTCCCATTGTATTGTTTATGTACCACATCTATATTTCATGTAAAAAAAATTTTATTTTAATACTTCTGGGTGTCAGGAACGGATTATTTGTACGTATTTACATTACTTCTTATGGGGAAAATCGATTAAAAAATAGTCTATTTCGATAATCGTCGCACTTCCAGGAATGGATTAACGACGATAAACGAGAAATGTTTTAAGCATAATAAAACACCCATCACTATCTTCACACAATACAACAAACAGGTGAGTGTGTGTGTGTGTGTGTGTGTGTGTGTGTGTGTGTGTGTGTGTCTGTGTGTGTGTGTGTGTGTGTATTTCTTCGTTTTGTGATTGCCAGACAGAGGATCAAGCCTCCACTGCTTTTTATTTTAAATAACCCACATTATTATTACAATATTATTATTATTATTATTATTATTATTATTGTTTTTCATTTATTATTCAAGAAATAAGAACAATAAATCCACTCCCTACAAATATAAGGGTAGTTACCAATATAATTTTGGCTTAAAGAATAAACTTTTAAAGTTTGTACTGGCAGTTGCTGCTGATTAGCTGGGGTGTGGTGCCTTTGTTCAGCAAGCAGCAGCTTGCTGAACACACCATCAACCATTGACCATAATGTCTAGTCTGAGACCAGACAGTATGGTCAATGATTCCCAGAGCCATTCCAGTAGTTATAGCACTTACTACCACCTCCTGTAACTCCTTCCAGTGGTTATAGCACTTAATATCACCTCCTGTAACTCATTCCACTGGTTATAGCACTTACTACTACCTGTAACTCATTTCACTGGTTATAGCACTTAATACCACTTCCTGTAACTCATTCCACTGGTTATAGCACTTACTACTACCTGTAACTCATTTCACTGGTTATAGCACTTAATACCACTTCCTGTAACTCATTCCACTGGTTATAGCACTTACCACCACCTAATGACAATCATTCTAGTGGTTCTAGCACTTTTTACTGCCATTCCAGTAGTTGTAGCACCTACTACCACCATTCCAGTGGTTGTAGCACCTACTACCACCATTCCAGTGGTTGTAGCACCTACTACCACCATTCCAGTGGTTGTAGCACCTACTACCACCATTCCAGTGGTTGTAGCACCTACTACCATCATTCCAGTGGTTGTAGCACCTACTACCACCATTCCAGTGGTTGTAGCACCTATTACCACCATTCCAGTGGTTGTAGCACCTACTACCACCATTCCAGTGTTGTAGCACCTACTACCACCATTCCAGTGTTGTAGCACTACTACCACTATTCCAGTGGTTGTAGCACCTACTACCACCATTCCAGTGGTTGTAGCACCTACTACCACCATTCCAGTGGTTGTAGCACCTACTACCACCATTCCAGTGGTTGTAGCACCTACCACCATTCCAGTGGTTGTAGCACCTACTACCACCATTTCAGTGGTTGTAGCACCTACTACCACTATTCCAGTTGGTTTGTAGCACCTACTACCACCATTCCAGTGGTTGTAGCACCTACTACCACCATTCCAGTGGTTGTAGCACCTACTACCACCATTCCAGTGGTTGTAGCACCTACTACCACCATTCCAGTGGTTGTAGCACCTACTACCACCATTCCAGTGGTTGTAGCACCTACTACCATTCCAGTAGTTGTAGCACCTACCACCATTCCAGTGGTTGTAGCACCTACCACCATTCCAGTGGTTGTAGCACCTACTACCACCATTCCAGTAGTTGTAGCACCTACCACCATTCCAGTAGTTGTAGCACCTTACCACCATTCCAGTGTTGTAGCCTCCACCATTCCGGTGTACACTACCACCATTCCAGTGGTTGTAGCACCTACTACCACCATTCCAGTGGTTGTAGCACCTACACCATCTTCCAGTGGTTGTAGCACCTACTACCACCATTTCAGTGGTTGTAGCACCTATTACCACCATTCCAGTGGTTGTAGCACCTATTACCACCATTTCAGTGGTTGTAGCACCTATTACCACCATTCCAGTGGTTGTAGCACCTACTACCACCATTCCAGTGGTTGTAGCACCTACTACCACCATTCCAGTGGTTGTAGCACCTACTACCACCATTCCAGTGGTTGTAGCACCTACTACCACCATCCAGTGTTGTAGACTACTACACCATTTCAGTGGTTGTAGCACCTACTACCACCATTTCAGTGGTTGTAGCACCTACTACCACCTTGTAAGTTATTCAAATGTAGAACATAATTCTTCATAGAATTATTTATCAAATTACATTTCAATGTTATTCTCTGTTGGTATCACTTAAAGACGGAGAATTTATCCTATCTGTCACACTAGAATATAGCTGTAATAATGCTGGTAGAATTACCAACAATGTTTGGTAAAAGGACACAAGTGCAACTAATGTGACGATGCCACAATAAAATGTCACATTAGTTGCACTTGTGTCCTTTTATCTAATACAGAATATTCAACATCAATATTACCAATATTTACATCAGACAAATCATTATTCATGGGAAAGCACTAAACCTGCAGGGGTCATAGTGCCTGGGGTAAATGGAAGGCCTTCAGATTCAATTCAGAGAACTGGTGCACAGGTCCAATTCTGTAGATTAATATTCCATCACCAGCATCGAAGGTACCTTCCTTGATGGGGCACCAGACAGAAATTCTTTACCTTTCAGGGACATTATATACAGAGAGTAATGTTTGGTGAATTATTCACACTGTACAGGTGCTCCTCAACTTATTATATTTCAGTTTTACAATGGTTGGAAATGAAAACTTTATATAATTACCCAGCATGAAGGTGGCAAGTCCATAAATTGTATTCATATATTTATTTTTCAATAGTGGTACTTAGTTACAGTAATTATTTGCTTATTTAGTGACAGCAGTTATTGATTTATCATATACTCATATTCGACTTATGATGGGTTTGTCAGAAAGTAACCCCACTGTAAGTCAAGGAGCACCTGTTGTCAGCACCTGTATATTTAAATGTGCTAAAAGTATGGAAGCAACAGAAAGCAAGAAGGGAGCATTAGAAAACTCACAGAATGTTGAGCTGCATCTGGCGACGAATGAGAGCATTCTTCTTGTTAACCAGTGTAAACCACTGCTGCATCAATCGTTCCTCGTCATCGCTCCGGGTACCTGCATTATACATATTCTCAACAATATTTCTAGTAGCAACAAAAGGTTGTAGCAGTACAGTATATGGTCACCTAAATTCCTAAAAAAAAAAAAAAAAAAAAAAAAAAAAAAAAAAAAAATATGGAGCAGTACAAATTTTTCTTCTTGGACTTTTAGTAAGAGAATATAGAAGAGAAGGTTATTATCCTCACGCTCCCAGCATTTTAGTCACTTTTACATAATGCATGGAATACAGAGCAAGAATTCTAGTCCACTATCCCCATGGGATAACTTTTATGAGGAAATTCAGGAAAACTGGTTACCAGACTTGAGTCCTGGAGGTACGTTGGAAGAGCAATGACTATATTGCATTCAAAGGGTAATCTGAATTGTGATGTCAGCACGCCTTCTGGCAAGACAGAGACTGAAAGAATAGTGGAGAATGTTTCTTCTTTGAATCATCCTACTGGCAGGGAAAGGCATTAAGGTTATAAAAACTGAAGCAGTACATTAAAAAATTTACTCAAATGAGAGAAAGGCAGCAGACCATCAATACTAGACCTAGTGGTAGTAAAAGAGTATAGTGATACTGACAAGATGTGGAAAAAGACACATATACTTATGACATTTATTAAACTGTTTTGCCACAGGTGCTTCTTTGGTCCTGACAGAGAGATAAATATGAAGGTAGCATATATAAGAATGACTTGTTATACTTTTATTCCCACCAAGACACCAGACAACAAAAGAGAGGTGTAGTTTTTGGCTTTTAGTATTTTTTTTTTTCAACAAGTCGGCCATCTCCCACCGAGGCAGGGTGACCCAAAAAGAAAGAAAATCCCCAAAAAGAAAATACTTTCATCATATTCAACACTTTCACCACACTCACACATAATCACTGTTTTTGCAGAGGTGCTCAGAACACAACAGTTTAGAAGCATATACGTATAAAGATACACAACATATCCCTCCAAACTGCTAATATCCCGAACCCCACCTTTAGAGTGCAGGCATTGTACTTCCCATTTCCAGGACTCAAGTCTGGCTATATAAAAATAACCGGTTTCCCTGAATCCCTTCACTAAATATTACCCTGCTCACACTCCAACAGATCGTCAGGTCCCAAATACCATTTGTCTCCATTCACTCCTATCGAACACGCTCATGCATGCCTGCTGGAAGTCCAAGCCCTTCGCCCACAAAACCTCCCTTACCCCTTCCTTCCAACCTTTTCGAGGATGACCCCTACCCCGCCTTCCTTCTCCTACAGATTTAAATGCTCTCCATGTCATTCTACTTTGATCCATTCTCTCTAAATGACCAAACCACCTCAACAGTCCCTCTTCAGCCCTCTGACTAATACTTTTATTAACTCCACACCTTCTAATTTCCACACTCCGAATTTTCTGTATAATATTTACACCACACATTGCCCTTAGACAGGACATCTCTACTGCCTCCAACCGCCTCCTCGCTGCTGCATTTACCACCCAAGCTTCACACCCATATAAGAGTGTTGATACTACTATACTTTCATACATTCCCTTCTTTGCCTCCATAGATAACATTTTTTGACTCCACAAATACCTCAATGCACCACTCACCTTTTTTCCCTCATCAGTTCTATGATTAACCTCATCCTTCATAAATCCATCCGCCAACACGTCAACTCCCAAGTATCTGAAAATATTCACTTCTTCCATACTCCTCCTCCCCAATTTGATATCAAATTTTTCTTTATCTAAATAATTTGATACCCTCATCACCTTACTCTTTTCTATGTTCACTTTCAACTTTCTACCTTTACACACACTCCCAAACTCATCCACTAACCTTTGCAATTTTTCTTTAGAATCTCCCATAAGCACAGTACCATCAGCAAAAAGTAACTGTGTCAATTCCCATTTTGTATTTGATTCCCCATAATTTAATCCCACCCCTCTCCCGAACACCCTAGCATTTACTTCTTTTACAACCCCATCTATATATATATTAAACCATGGTGACATATTCTTTTAGTATTTATTTCCCTTAATACCTTGAAGTTGAGTGCATATGTCTCATGCACATTTTCAGCCTTCTACATTTTTCCCTCCACTTTATCCCCAGTTGCAGGAAATTGGGAATATGCTTCCTTAGCAGAAACATAAACAACTCAACAGCAGATGGGCCAGTATACTAGACACATTATGCTAAAGTCAGCAGGATGGCATCCAAAAACTGCTAATATTACCAACAGCCAACTCAAGATAGCTACAAACTCTTTTACCTCTTTTAAAAATACAATGCATAGGAAGCAGAAAACAGACCCGTCCACTTATGCAGGAGTCTATGCCACACCCTGCCAGGGGGTGTGACAAGAAGTACATATGTGAAATGCCAAGATCCCTCAAACTGAGAATTTGATAATACTGTACAACCATGTATTTTTTTGAGATTTTTAGTATGTTTGTTTGAAATATGTTTGGCATTTGATTTGAGTCTGATTTTTTACCAGTGTTGACAGCAGGTGACAGTAATGGTGGTGGTAGCTGATACTATCTGCCACATTTGTACATGTATAGGGCCTCATCAACCTGCTGCACACATTTCCAGATCAAAAAGCAGTGACAGCTACAATGTAAAAAATTAAACAAATTTACTATTTTTGAAAAATTATGAAATTTTAAATTGTGCCTTTTTTTTCTGGGGGAGGTGTCAAAAAAGCAACCTTATTTTTCCTATATGTTCTTCAGTCTACTTAATACTATTTCAGGTAAAGCAAAGACTTTCAGAACAATAATCCACACGCTAACTAGCATCCTATTATATTTACGTACAGCTGAATATTTTTAGCTTTATTACCAAGCATTATGTATGTTTATCAATTCTGAGTGTGAGTTTGTTGATAACTGTACAAGTTTGTCATTAACTATACTGGTGAGGGCAAAGTTATCTTGCCAGAGGTGTGTAGGCATCATAAGTCAAATGACCACTCTGAGCTGTAGCTGTGCTGCTTAAACACACGAGCTAACTACATTCCTAAACTCCCTTTAAGTACACTAGTGGTGTTGATGAATGTAAGAGAGGAAGCGGAGTACTTACTGAGTTCCATTATCTTTCTCAGTCTCTTTTCAAGTCTTGCAGCTTGTTCATCAATTTGGTGCTGTTCTCTTTCGAGTGATTCTAATTCATTTTGTAAGTAACGGCTACTTTCACATGTTTGCTGTGGAAACAAAAAAAAAAATTACAAGTGCTACGAAAACAGATTAGTTATTTGAAGACACTTCAAACAGGAAAAAGGTTTTAATGCGCCATTACTTGCACCACAGTAGGGACAACACACTGAAACACAACATTCCCACCTAGTATATAAAGAGCAAACTATACTTTTTTTGTTTGTTTGTTTTTGTTTAACAAGTCAGCCGTCTCCCACCGAGGCAGGGTGACCCAAAGAGAAAGAAAATCCCCAAAAAGAAAAATACTTTCATCATCATTCAACACTTTCACCTCACTCACACATAATCACTGTTTTTGCAGAGGTGCTCAGAATACAACAGTTTAGAAGCATATTTGTATAAAGATACACAACATATCCCTCCAAACTGCCAATATCCCGAACTCCTCCTGTAGAGTGCAGGCATTGTACTTCCCATTTCCAGGACTCAAGTCCGGCTATATAAAAATAACCAGTTTCCCTGAATCCCTTCCCTAAATATTACCCTGCTCACACTCCAAACAGCTTGTCAGGTCCCAAATACCATTCGTCTCCATTCATTCCTATCAAACACACTCATGCACGCCTGCTGGAAGTCCAAGCCCCTCAGATAAATATAAACAGTGCATCAGTTAACTATGTCTCATTTTAAATTACCTTAAATTAAAAGTTTAAATTTTATATGTTTAAAGTTTCAAATGTATTTTTTTTAACACTGGCTGTCTCCCACTGAGGCAGGGTGATCCAAAAATGAAACATCTAAATACAGTTTCATATAAATTTACCTGTACTGCTCTTATTTTGATGTATGGCTACTAAGTAATATGCAGATACAGTAGTTCCCCTGTATCCACGACAGATATTTTGCAAGACCTACTGCATTTACATATATACCTATGATAAAGTTTAATTGATAAATTATGCATAGTAAGTTGAGAATTAGCACTTTTTCATTGATGGGAAGCACTTCATAGCTTCTCTTAGGCTTTCAAGAACTGCCAGCATCACTAACCAAAACTGCTGATACTGGGGTTCTACTGTGCTGTATTGTCTTAGGATGTCTTTACTCTATTTACCTTAAGCAATATGATGGATATCCTTTCTAAACTTTGTGGTTGCATATGTCCCAGCCCCAGTGTTTATCATATAATATTTTTAATTTCCAGTATTTTTATACCATTCTGCAAAGAAAAGCTTTATTGCATCCTTCAAAACCACATTTTCTCAGCTTACACTGGTGATTTCCTTCTTACATGTAGTTATCAAATCTCCTCTTTTTTTCTTCTATTAAAAAGTAAGGGGCATTTTTAGTTATAAGCCACACTTTTTTTTATAAAATTGCTCCAAGAGCCATTTTATAAACTTATTTTATGCCAAAACTGTTGTCCAGAGGGCTGAGGAAGGGTTGTTGAGGTGGTTCAGACATGTAGAGAGAATGGAGCAAAACAGAATGACTTCAAGAGTGTATCAGTCTGTAGTGGAAGGAAGGTGGGGTAGGGGTCGGCCTAGGAAAGGTTGGAGGGAGGGGATAAAGGAGGGTTTGTGTGCGAGGGGCTTGGACTTCCAGCGAGCATGTGTGAGCATGTTTGATAGGAGTGAATGGAGACAAATGGTTTTTAATACTTGACATGCTGTTGGAGTGTGAGCAAAGTAACATTTATGAAGGGATTCAGAAAAACTGGCAGGCCGGACTTGAGTCCTGGAGATGGGAAATACAGTGCCTGCAATCTGAAGGAGGGGTGTTAATGTTGCAGTTTAAAAACTGTAGTGTAAAGCACCCTTCTGGCAAGACAGTGATGGAGTGAATGATGGTGAAAGTTTTTCTTTTTCGGGCCACCCTGCCTTGGTGAGAATCGGCCAGTGTGCTAATAAATAAAAAAAAATTTATGCAGAAATGGGAAATAGGAGTAGCAACCTGCCAGCAGACCTTTTATTCCACTAGTAAATACTGCACTTTCTTGGCCCATTTAATTTTTTATTTGCCATACCCCTTTGCTTCCTTGTTTACATCAGCAACTCTACAGGAAAGAAACCAGGGGCATTTCCCTAAGGATTTTGCAAAAAATGCCTGTTTACCCAACATGTTTCTCTGGCTTAGTTCTTAATGACTTGGTCCCCTTCCTTGGTTCAGCTGGTGAGTACATTGTTTATGAGAAGACATCTACACTCACTCTGCAAGTTATCCAACATTGAATGATGAGACAAGAGCATGACTTTTCTTCACCTAGTTTTCAACAGAAAACAAGTACACAAAGTTCTGGATCCTTCTTACTCTGCAAATGTCCAGGTCAATATTTTAGTGATTAGTCCATTAACTCTTTCAGGGTCCAGAGGCCAAATTTCAAAGTGTGCACCAGGGTCCAAGAATTTAAAAAAAATAATTTTGTTATCTTTTCTTATGAAATGGCAGAGAATCTTTTTCTGAAGGTAATAAAACAAAAAGTACGAAATTTGATGGAAAATTGATGAAATTATGCTCTCACAAATTTTGACGTGTCGGCAATATTTACGCATTGGCGATTTTGCCGACTTTGACTCCCAATTTAGGCCAATAACATTATTCCAGTCAACCAAATTCTTAGCTATTTCACTGGTATTACTTCTATTCTATCGATTGAGCACAAGAAATCGGCAAGTCAACTGTTTCAACAACAAAATAAAGTGACTGGAAATTGGTAATTTGGCCAATTTAATGCAAAGATCAAAATATTCCAATTTCAAAATAAGGTCCAGAATAAACAATGCAGGCATTCCTGGAACTAAACTAACATTTCCTCTGTTCATTAGTTATGTTTTCAGGCTTTACAAATGAATTCCATTTTGATTTTTTATTCACATAATGAATTTTTATTCAAACCAAAAAATAGAAGATTTACTGTTATGCAATACTGTAATAATTGTATAAATAATATCACCACATTTGTTAATGTATATTAGACCCACCAGCTATCATGTATTAGACGTGTGAGGTCATTTGTTTACTCTTGAACATCAGCAAAAATTTAACATTTCTCCTAATTTGAGCTCAGTTTCAAGCCATTTCCAGTATTAAAACCAATCAAAATAATCTCTATTTCTGTAGTATATCTTCCATTCTATCAAATGAGACCAAGAAATTGCAAATACAACTATAAAAAACATGAAAAAACACTGCAAAGTCGCTGTTTTAATCGAAAATTACGGTCTCGGTTCTTTTTCTCTCAGTATGCACTGTGTGCTGCAGGATTTGTTTTATGTGGTGCACACATAGTACATAGATGTATTCTCTCATATCTAGGCCCAAATTTACTGCTCACAGCTTATCAGAGTGAGCTGAGCTCATGGCATAGATCCACGGTTTGGACCCTGAACATAAAGCCATAGATCTACGGCACGGACCCTGAAAGGGTTAATGTCAACAGAACAAAAATGCCTTGTCTTTCATGTCTTAATTAATTCTGTCTCAACAAGTAACGATTAAGTAAAATAGGATATGGTTGGATTCAGACTTAAGACTTATCATAGGATCGAGGTACATAATGTCTTACTCAAGCTTTGCCAACTAGGAAGCCTCTTTGCCTTCAATGCCTTATTCTCTCCTCAGATTTTTTGTTCTGGGGGAAAGGGGTTTCATCAGGAAACAGAATCTATACTAAGGTCTTCAGTTTTAGAGAGAACTTGAGTCCATTTTCTCAGATGTTTTAGCAAGAAAATTGCATTCTGCTCAAAGAAGGGAGCCATCTTCAGTCCATATCATACACTGCTGTACCAGATGATATCAAGACCAAAGGACCCACTTCTGGGAAACCAGCAGACTGCCTAAGGAGGTAATATGCCCAACAGTTCCACTTCTATAAGAGTGAGGCTAATGGGCATATTGATCAGCTTGGATAGCCTTCAACAATCCTTTAACTGTATCAATTACTCAAGAGTCAACAGCTATTTGTCATGGAAGACTTACTTCAATGTCATGTCTCTCTTCTTTCCTGTGATTCTCAAATCAGAGATGTCAACATGATTGATTATACTATCAATCATATATGGTCTCATTCAGGAAGGAGTCATCTGAACAGTACATAATATAAACAACCCAAAAATTCTTCTACATATTTCTTATTGTTAAGATGAAAAGCCTCACCTTAAAAGTCCTCAATAGTCTGATATCACTACTGAAGTTCAAAATGAAGACTTACTTGGGATGTGAATTTAGGAAAGAGAAAAAAGTCAATTTAGCATGAGAGTAGGCAAAAAATCTATGAAATATGGAGGATAGCCAAGACAACAGAATGAGCTAGGAAGAATGAAAATTTCAGTCAAGAAATTGAGGATCACAAATGTGGAGAATGCAGAGAAAGAGGGAAACAAAAACACATTTCTTAACATATTGAGCACAGTAGAAAAAGTAATAAATGTACATGTCAAAATGCATACATCTGTAGACAGGAAAAAGGAGGACATGTCACAGAGCAGTGAACCTGAACATCAAGGAGAGGAAATAGTAAATCAGATTCACATATAGCTTTAAACTTAACAGATGAAGCAACAGTGTAAAGAGCAACAAGAAGAGATTGAAAGACACTAAAAGTCAGTTGGCCAGAGAGTGAGAACATTACATAGTGAAGCCAGAGAGGACATAGACCAACAATAGGAAGCAGAACAGTTTTTAAATTCTTAGCAAGTACAGGGGACAGGAGAGTGTCAAGCAACACCATAAGTATTATCGCTCTCCTCATTCTTCTTTTATTCTACTTTCTCAGTTTCTTCTTACTTTCTTCATACTCTGAGTACCACTAAGCAATCCTCAAACATACAGTATAGACTCCTTCAAAAAGACATAAGACAGTAGAACCCCCCGAATCATGAGGGTTAAGTTCTTAGAAGTCCTCGCAAATATTTTAATACTTCTTGCTGATGTTATAAAACTCTGCAAACCTTTTCACTTTTTATATTGTATGTTCTCTAGACTCCTACTGATCTATTTATTATCACTGATAGCACACACTTGTACATTCTGAATTTAATATCAAAACACATTACAGTATTTGTTAAACACACAAACAGCCTCTTTTCAACTCTCTGAAAGATTATCACAATACAGTGCCACATTATTTTTGTCAATACATATTTCCAAAGTCAAGTAGTACTGCATTTTTACTGCAAGTAAAGAACTGGAAACATGTCAAAAAAAAGCATCTAAACTATATGTAAAAGTATGATAAGTGATGATATCACAGCATATAAAGTACTATACCTTAAATAATTTAAAATAACAGTATCAAAGAAGTATGATTAACATACACAAATAACCCGCACATAAAAGAGAGAAGCTTACGACGACGTTTCGGTCCGACTTGGGCCATTGACAAAGTCGCACTAACCAGAGGTGGAGCAGGATGGCTATATATAGGCAGGAAGAGGTGGTGGTAGTAGTAGTAGTAGTACAAGAATTGTATATAATACCGACAAGATGAAATTAAGACACGTGCACAACACCCGGGCATCCCCATTGTAGACGTTTCGCCATCCAGCCAGCCACTGGATGGCGAAACGTCCACAACAAAGACAACCAGACGCCGCACATGTGTCTTAATTTCATCAGTAGTTGTAGTAGTAGTAGAAGAAGAGGTAGTAGTAGTGGTAGAAGTGGGAAATAAGGATGACGAGCCAGTCAAATACAAAGGAAGGGGAGCACTGCAAGAGAGCTAGATGCCCACAGAGGGAGAGCAAGCGCACAGAGGTGCGTGAAAGGTTAAGTGGTGAAATAAATGAAGAAGGAACAGAAACACGAGACAGGAGAGAGAAAGACAACCCAGAGGAGAAAAGGAAAGAGGAAAGGGGAAGAGGAAGAAGAAGAAAAAGAAAAAGAAAAACTGAATCCTCATTTTTTCTTTTTCTTCTTCTTCTTCTTCCCCTTTCCTCTTTCCTTTTCTCCTCTGGGTTGTCTTTCTCTCTCCTGTCTCGTGTTTCTGTTCCTTCTTCATTTATTTCACCACTTAACCTTTCACGCACCTCTGTGCGCTTGCTCTCCCTCTGTGGGCATCTAGCTCTCTTGCAGTGCTCCCCTTCCTTTGTATTTGACTGGCTCGTCATCCTTATTTCCCACTTCTACCACTACTACTACCTCTTCTTCTACTACTACTACAACTACTGATGAAATTAAGACACATGTGCGGCGTCTGGTTGTCTTTGTTGTGGACGTTTCGCCATCCAGTTGCTGGCTGGATGGCGAAACGTCTACGATGGGGATGCCCGGGTGTTGTGCACGTGTCTTAATTTCATCTTGTCGGTATTATATACAATTCTTGTACTACTATTACTACTACTACCACCACCTCTTCCTGCCTATATATAGCCGTCCTGCTCCACCTCTGGTTAGTGTGACTTTGTCAATGATCCAAGTCGGACTGAAACGTCGTCGTAAGCTTCTCTCTTTTATGTGCGGGTTATTTGTGTATCGTTCCAGTCACGGTATTGTGCCTTTTTTGTTATTTAAGTATGATTAAGTTAAAATAATTTTTAGCATACCTTATCTGGAGAGGCTCTTGGAGAGTGAGGTGTATTCTCTTTATCAGGCGACATTCTATCCAAAATATTCTTAAATGATTGTAATTTGGGTGCCCGAAATTCTCTAACACCCTCATTGTTGCCACCTATCTAAACGCTCACACCCTTGCTGGAAGTCCAACCCCCTCCCCCAAAAAACCTCCTTTACCCCCTCTTTCCAACCCTTTCAGGAGCCCCTACCCCCCTTTCCCCTTCCCCTATAGATTTTTGCCTCCATGTCATTCTTTTTATCCATTCTCTCAAATGCCCAAAACCCACCTCAAAACCCCTCTTCTCCCCTTGACAAATGTTTTTATTAACTCCACACCTTCTCCAAATTTTCCCACATCCGTTTTTTTCTGCTTAATATTTACACCACCATTGCCCTTAACAGGACATCCCCACTGCCTCCAACTGTCTCCTCGCTGCCATTTCCCCCCAAGTTTCACACCATATAAGAGTGTTGGTATACTATATTTTCATCTTTCCCCTTCTTTCCCTCCTAAAACTTTTTTTGACTCCAATATACCTAACGCACCACACCTTTTTTCCCCATAAAATTTCATGTTAACCTACCTTCATAAACCCATCTCCCGAATGCAACTCCAAGTATTAAAAAACTTCACTTTTTCCCCATACTCCCCTCCCAATTTTGATACCCAATTTTTCTTACTAAATCATTTGATACCCTCATCACCTACTCTTTTCTATGTTCACTTTCAACTTTCTACCTTTACACACTTTCTAAAAACTCATCCACTAACCTTTGCAATTTTTCTTTAGAATCTCCCATAAGCACAGTATCATCAGCAAAAAGAAACTGTGTCAATTCCCCATTTTGAATTTGATTCCCATAATTTAATCCCACCCCCCTCCCCCGAACCCCCAAAGCATTTACTTCTTTTACAACCCCATCTATAAATATATTAAACAACCATGGTGACATTACACATCCCTGTCTAAGACCTATTTTTAAACCGGGGAAAAAGTATTCTCCCTCTCTTCTACACACCCTAACTTGAGCCTCACTATCCTCATAAAAGCTCTTTACAGCATTTAGTAACTTACCACCTATTCCATAACTTGCAACATCTGCCACATTGCCCCCTCTATCCACTCTATCATATGCCTTTTCTAAATCCATAAATGCAATAAAAACTTCCCTACCTTTATCTAAATACTGTTCACATATATGCTTCATGTAAACACTTGATCTACACATCCCCTACCCACTCTGAAGCCTCCCTGCTCATCCGCAATCCTACATTCTGTCTTACCTCTAATTCTTTCAATTATAACCCTACTGATATTTTTTCCTGGTATACTCAGTAAACTTATTCCTCTATAATTTTTACAATCTTTTTTGTCCCCTTTTCCCTTTATATAAGGGACTATACATGCTCCCCCCGCCAATCCCAGGTCCCTTTTTCCTCTTTCATACATTTATTAAACAAAGTACCAACCACTCCAACACATTACCCCCCCTGCTTTTAACATTTCTGTCATGATCCCATCATTCCAGCTGCTTTACCCCCTTTCATTCTACGTAAGGGCCTCACGTACCTCCACCACACTTACATTCTGCTCTTCTTCACTCCTAAAAGATGGTATACCTCCCTGGCCAGTGCATGAAATTACCGCCTCCCTTTCTTCCTTAACTTTTTAAAAGATCCTGAAAATATTCTCGCCATCTACCTAATACCTCCATCTCCCATCTACTAACTCCCCTACTCTGTTTTTAACTGACAAATCCATACTTTCCCTAGGCTTTCTTAACTTAACTCCCTCCAAAATTTTTTCTTATTTTCATTAAAATTTCTTGACAGTGCCTCTCCTACTCTATCATCTGCTCTCCTTTTGCACTCTCTCACCACTCTCTTCACCTTTCTTTACTCTCCATATACTCTGCTCTTTTTATAACACCTCTGCTTTGTAAAAACCCCCTCATAAGCACCTTTTTCTCTTTTATCACACCCTTTACTTCATCATTCCACCAATCACTCCTCTTTCCTCCTGCCCCCACCCATCCTATAACCACAAACTTCTGCCCCTCATTCTAATACTGCATTTTTAAAACTATTCCAAAACCCCCTTCAACCCCCCCACTACTCATCTTTGCACTAGCCCACCTTTCTGCCAATAGTCCCCTTATACTCCGCCCAACTTCCTCCTCCCTTAGTTTATACACTTTCACCTCCCTCTTACTTGTTGTTGCCACCTTCCTCTTTTCCCATTACCTCTTACTCTAACTGTAGCTACAACTAAATAATGATCCGATATATCAGTTGCCCCACTATAAACATATACATCCTGGAGCCTAGCCACCCAACCTTTTTATCCACCAATACTAATCTAACAAACTACTTTCATTAGTGCACATCATACCTTGTATATTATTTGTCCTCTTTTTCATAAAAAAATGTATTACTTATTACCAAATTTCTTTCTACACATAGCTCAATTAAGGCTCCCATTTACATTTACCCCGGGCACCTCAAATTTACCTATACTCCCTCCATAACATTTTTACCCACTTTAGCATTGAAATCCCCCAAACCCCCATTACACTCTCACTTGATTCAAACTCCCCACGCATTCACTCAACATTTCCCAGAATCTCTCTCTCTCTCTACACTTCTCTCTTCTCCAGGTGCATACACGGGTTACTATAACCCACTTTTTTACATCCAATCTTTATTTTACTCCACATAATACTTGAATTTATACATTTGTAGTCCCTTTTTTTCCTGCCATAGCTTATCCTTCAACATTATTGCTACTCCTCTTTAGCTCTAACTCATTTGAAACCCCTGACCTAATCCCATTTATTCCTCTCCATTGAAACTCTCCCACCCCCCTTTAGCTTTGTTTCACTTAAAGCAGGACATCCAGTTTCTTCTCATTCATAACATCCACAATCATCTCTTTCTTATCATTTGCACAACATCCACGCACATTCAGACTTCCCACTTTTTACAAATTTTTTTCTTTTTATTCTTATTTAGTAATCTTTACAGGAAAAGGGGTTACTAGCCCATTGTTCCCCGGCATTTTAGTTGACTTTTACAACACGCATGGCTTACGGAGGAAAGATTCTCATTTTCCCCTTCCCCATGGATATAAAAGGAAAAGTAAAAAAGACCAAGAACTAAGATAAAATCAAATAAAACTCAGATGAGTGTGTATAAATAAACGTGTACATGTATGTGTAGTGTGACCTAAGTGTAAGTAGAAGTAGCAAGACATGCCTGTAATCTTGCATATTTATGAGACACACGAAAGACACCAGCAATCCTACCATCATGTAAAAAAATTACAGGGTTTGTTTTTCACCACTTGGCAGGACGGTAAACTCCCGGGGGTTTTTGGCTCCTACCTACTACCTGCTGCTGCTGCACCACAGTCAGCTGCTGCTGCACCACCGTCAGCTGCTGCTGAACCACCATCAGCTGTTGCTGCACCACAGCTGCTGCTGCACCACAGTCAGCTGTTGCTGAACCAGGGTCAGCTGCTGCTGCGCCACCATCAGCTGTTGCTGCACCACCATCAGCTGTTGCTGCACCACTGTCAGCTGCTGCTGAACCACGGTCAGCTGCTTCTGCACCAAAGTCAGCTGCTTCTGCACCACAGTCAGCTGCTGCTGCACCTCAGTCAGCTGCTGCTGCACCTCAGTCAGCTGCTGCTGCACCTCAGTCAGCTGCTGCTGCACCACCGTCAGCTGTTGCTGCTGCTGCACCATCATCAGCTGTACTACTCGAAGATGTAGTGTGTGTGTTGTTGGTGTGGCTTAACGGGAAACAGTTACCGAGAAACAATTAACCCCAGATGGTTAGCCACCCAGGATAACCCAAGAAAGCCAGTGCATCATCGAGGACTGTAACTTATTTCCATTGGGGTTCTTAATCTTGTCCTCCAGGATGCAAACCACACCAGTCGACTAACACCCAGGTGAACAGGAAAAAATACCTAGAACTAGTACTCATATTGGTAAGTTTAAGGCCAGCAAAGGTTAGTTTGAGAGATTTAAGAATCGTAGTGGCATACACAGTGTGATAAGGCATGGTGAAGCTGAAAAATTCCAACCCCAACAAGTGTTCAATTGTGACGAAACAGGCCTGTTCTGGAAGAAAATGCCAAACAGGAGCTACATTACTCAGAAGGATAAGGCACTCCCAGGACACAAGCCTATGAAAGACAGGCTAACTCTCATGTTTTGTTGTAATGCTAGTGGGGATTGCAAAGTGAAGCCTTTACTTATGTATCACTCTGAAAATCCCAGTGTTCAAGAAAAACAGTGTCTCATCACTTATCAATACTCTTCAATAAAGGTGTCATTTTAACACTTATTTATGTAGTAATTTTGCATGTCTCATTGTTTTCTTTGTAGGGAAATGTATATTTCATGAAAAAAAAAAATATTTTATAACTTTTGGCTGTCTGGAACAGATTAATTGGATTTCCATTATTTCTTATGGGGAAAATTAATTCGGCTAATGATAATTTTGGCTAACGATGAGCTCTCAGGAATGGATTAATATCGTTAGGCGAGGGTCCACTGTATATCAGAGATGTGTCGGATGTGAAAATTTAGATATCCGCAGGTGCAGATGTATATGAGGATGTCTTACTTATTTTGCGGATGCGGATGTATACACGGATATCTGTTTACAGTAAAATGCGGATGCAGATATGGATGTAAGAAACTGTGTGGATGTTCCGCGGATGCGGATATCTGATACATCTCTAAAATACAGTGGAACTTCTACTTGTGAGCGCATCCACATGCGAGCTTTTCCAAATACAGTGGACCCCCGGTATACAATATTAATCCATTCCTGAGAGCTCATCGCATGCCAAAATTATCGGAAGGCGAATTAATTTTCCCCATAAGAAATAATGGAAATCAAATTAATCCGTGCCAGACACCCAAAAGTACTATGAAAAAAAAGTTTTACCACATGAAATATTAAGTTTAATACACACAAACTGAAAAAGACATGCACAGTTAGTAGTACTCTACTAACAATAGAATACATGACACTTACCTTTAATGAAGATCTGGTGATGATTGATGGGATGAGAGGAGGGGAGAGTATCGAAGTTGTTAATGTTTAGAAGGG